CGGCTGCTCCTCAAGTAGAAATACTGACCCCACCAACACTACCCAACAATATAATGTCCAGCAAGAGATTGTTTTTATTTTAATAAATGTTTTATGAAAGTAATCAGTATCATGACTCCCTTTATCACCACCTGGCATCCTTTCACAACCCGTTTAGATGTGTTGTTATGGCTTCAATAATGTATCTCCCACTTTGTATTATCAAACGTAGCCTAAAGTATGCTCAAGTATCATGACACCCAACAAGTATAGATTTTTTAATTAAAAATATTGCTTATGTGAATCCTAGTAGTCTACTGCTTATAAATCATAGATCCTACCTATTTTTTCCAGATTTTCTTTCCTTATGATTTAAAGCACAAACGTATACATGTCTATCCAGAAGTTAAGTCTCACTGAGTTCAATGGAGCATACCTTACTTCATACCCACCCTTTTACCATGAATGTGTATAGGATTGCAGTCTTAGTTGTGTTGGTTCTAATCTTGTAAGCCACTCTCTAAAGCCCAACTTTAAAAAGGAAATATTTACTTTAAAAAGTAAATATGGTGTGGGTGTGAAAGTTTACTCTTAAACTATTAAAGTAAAAAGGTACTATAAAGAAGGATGTACATTCACATATATTTTACAAGTGGTGTGTACTGGATTCCTTCTGAGATGACGTGCAGAGAACTGCATTATTATAAACTCTTCTGACTCCCATCCTAACCTTCTAAATATAATTAATGGAAAGGAAAAGAAGAAGGCAGGCAGGTGACAAACACCTTGATCAGCAAAGGTGATATTGGAGAACACACAGTCACAGAGCCATTCTTTCCTGGGAAAGTACAGAAAATGCAAGCACTTAATCAATTCCTGTTTCTTAACATAGGCAGTTATAGATCAGTCCTGCAACGAACAAGACAGTTGCTTATAATTCTGTATCTGAAGGAGAAGCACCCAACAAAAGTAACCCACATGAGAAGCAGTGAAAGGGCTGTAGCTCTTGAAGGGGGGGGGGAGAGAGAGAGACCACAGTCTACGGCTGTTTCTTTGACTCTTGCCTTTGCAATAAATAAGAGGTAGGCTCAAGCACTCTTTCTGTGAAGCTCTAATTGTTCATGACAAAAGCTTTCGGCAACCTACTAAAAAAAAACACACCAACCAACCCCCCCACCCCTAAAGAATGTTTCACTGAAATGGGCCCCAATTCTGCTACCAAAGGAGAACATGGGAGTTTTGCTATTGATTTTTAAAAAAGCAAGGTCAGGCTTCAAGTGTGAAAGGGGGAAAAAACCCTCTCCTAAAATAAATATCTTTGTAAGAGCCCACTAAAAAGACCCAGGATTCAAACACATTCCTTCTGGAGATCAAGGATGTCCGGCCTTTGAAGCCTGAAGGGTTGGGGCGTTTCTCAATCTGTGTGGCAGTCACACTGTGGCATTAGAAATTGTGCATTTGGAATTGTAAAGCATTTTAAATGGAATCTTTCAGAATTCCACAGCTGGCTGGTGAGTGACAGCCTGATATAGCCTGGGGCAGGGAGAGAGATGACATCGTTTGTATTAAAGTTAAAATGATCTCTTTGTGAAGAGATACTTAAGAACATTTTAGTAAACAGAGGCAATAAAATAAAAATCGATTAAATGGGATGAATTAAGGTTTGTGTGCTAATTAAGAAACCTGATCTACAAACAGATTAAACTGGAGTACTTGAACTTAAACCAATTGAATAATGCCAGGCAGCTTAGATAACTTAAATTAGCCTGTTTAGTACTCTGCCTAAACTGATTTGTGGACAGAAGCCAAAGTCACTCATATGTTTTTGCTCATATGCTTATTTGGGGTACTATTCAGAGTATATAGGGAGGCAAGACACATGAGGCCATTGTCCAATCAAGCCTACATCTTTAAGCTTTATCATACACCTATTTCCCTGTCTTCTAAGAGGGGTGAACTGAATATCCCTTGCCCACTGCTATATGGACATAGCTGGGGAAAGTATCTGAATAACTGGGAGATGTCAAATATCAGGATGAGTGGAGCTATACCATATTTTGGATGAACTGTTTGTGTAAGGGAAAGAGATAATGGTAGTATATTTTATTGTTCTAAATTCTGTTGTTATAAAAATATTTTAGATTACAAATTGCGTTTTTCACTGAATGGTCACAGCTCTATAGTATTTCATTATTTAATTAATTACACACATCACAAGTTAGCAAGAGGCCTATTTCTGCTCTAATAAATAAATGAATAGTTGGTGGACACCTTGGAGGATAAGAACCAACAAACTTTTTTTTAGTAGAAACAAATACTTCTTTCTAATAAATACATATATGCAGAAGACCTATTTGCTCTGATTTGTCATGGGCTACTTTTGTGAAGTAAAACCCATGAACCATGATTTGGAGAAGACTGCACCCCGAATTCAATGAAAACTTTTTTATCCCCCTTAATCCCTTGATAATTTTTTGTGCTTCTCTTGTAGAAAAGCAATTTTGCTAATCACCTTTGTGCCGATGCCTGCATTCCTGACAATAGCGTGAACAACTTCCATCAAGTCTTTGATGTGGGAAAGAGAGAGAGACACACACACATATAATCTGAAAACAATTCCATTCCTTGCCACTCAATGGAGAGCACTCTGCTTTAATAGAGAGCTGATTCTGTGGAAGTTTCTAATCCTTTCTGCCAAAGAAGAGAGAAAGAGACACAGCCAGGTAGCCCACCTTATTCAGGAGTTAAAATAACATGGTTTTGCTCTCAGAGAAAATCAAAACAACTCAAGATCAAAACCAGATTTCCCCAACCCTAACAGGACAGCCTCTCTACTCAGATAACTCTTGATCTAAGTGTGTAACAAGTAACTGGCTTTAATCCCTCAAAGTGATGGCGTTACAGATAAGTACCTTGCTAGTATCAGAGGTGTCTTGAATTTCAGAAATACACAAAAGTGTTAGCTAGAAAGAAAAACAAAACAGAAAAATCTCATCCGCATGACCTGTGTCTTTTGCTGAAAAGGTACAAAGCTCCAGCAGCATAAAGAGGAAGCCTTTGAGAAAAGGGAGTGCAAATAAAAACAGCAGTCAGGTAATGAACAGGTAGTTCTTACGCCTGTTGCCTTTCGGTTATGTTAGAAGCTTTGTGAACCACTTTGTGTACAGCACTACACACATGTACATTACATGTGATGCAAAACATAATAAAAAAAAGCTGCTGTGTGAGCCTTTTGCATACAGTGTGCTCATAAATGTGGAGAAACTTATTTCTGGGAACCGTAATCTATGTATGCTCATATTAACACAGTACAGGCATTATATTTTGTATGGCAGAGATGACAAAAAGGAATATCCCCCACATCCAAGTATTAAAGGTTGAGGCTATCTACCTCATTGGAACACAAATGGAATCACACAAATGGAGGCTTTGCTTCTTACCCTAATCTGAATTGAGAAAGGCAACCCAGCTACACACTAAGAAAAAGATGGTCTGCTGCAAATACTGTATTCTCATATTTGCTGTCAGTTTCTATGCTTTCCTTTAAGCACCAATCTTTGCAGTGTGAAATATATGAAAATGCATTACCCTTCCACAGTGGGGCTTGTTATGACCACAAATCTCCTTGCAATGTAATGAAAGCCATCAAATCAGATAGATTATTATATTCAGAGGACAGATGACAGGGGGTTGGTTTGAGGGGGAGGCAGTGAGAGAGGGTAGTGAGACAATACATCAAGAGACACATTGCCACAACTCCAGAAACTGTCTTTAGGATATGAGGAAGCAAAATTGTGGGGAAGAGGCAGAGCGCCAGACTGCAGAAAGCATGTTTCCAGATTCCTTAGATGCAGCTTGTGACATCAGCAACCATAATAGTGCATGGAAGGCAAGGTACGTTAAAGCTTGAATTCCAATTTTGGCAACGATTTCCCTTATGTTGATGAAACTGTTAAATCAATGTGTATGAACCAATTTGTTTCTGAGTATTGTTACAGACTAACAAAATTAGTATGTTCAACAAATTATATAAAACAACTTGCGTATCACCCTCCTCATGGCTACAAGATTTACATCAGCTGAACAGATTTACATTTCCTTGGACATGCCTAACATCCTTTCTGCTATTATATGCTTAACTTTATATGCTTGACTTTGTATACAAACCTTTCTCGGACAGGTGACTGTTAATTTACTCCATGAGTATCATTCAGATATTTTATTATTATTAATTTATATACTGCTTATATGCCAAATTGGTTTACTGTAGGTTGTGCAGGAATTTACAAGAAGATAACAGCATTTCTCACCAACTTTCCTCTCAGTGGTCTCAGGAAATTCTCTCTCACACTTTCTGAATTTGTGGCTGCTACAGAACAGGTTTGTTGATGTTCTTACCTGTGAAGATCTTATAATAACTGGAGTGGTAAATTACTTCTCATGCAAATGTATCTCCACCTGGTATTTGAATCTTTAATTACTCTGCTTCCATGTACATATCCAAGTTAGCTGAGTGTTCATTAATGACCTAGGACCAAATTCAATGGATTCAAGTTACAAGAAAGGAGATTCAAACATCAGGAAGAACTTTTTGATAGTAAAAGCTCTTGGACAGTGGAACAGACTCCCATGAGTGGTGGAGAACTCTCCTTCCTTGGAGGTTTTTAAGCAGAGGCTGGATGGCCATTTTTCATGTGTTGCAATTCCTGCATTGCAGGGGGTTGGACTAGATGGCCCTTGGGATCCCTTCCAACTCTACAATTCTATGATTTTATGCTGATGGCATCCTCCAGTTTTCTTAGCTCAATTTGATGTAATATTTAATAACTCTTATTCTTTCATATCATACGTTTCCAGAATTTATTATAAATATAACAATTTATTTCAAATTCAGAGGTGAAAGAAGAGGTTTAACTTGATCCTTGGTCCTAGGAGACTGTGGAACTGTGTTGAATCAAATGGTATGTTACTTGACTACTTGCTCTACTTGATGTGAAGACTGAAAACCACACTTTTCTGTCTTAAGTTTGTTTTCAACTCTGCTTTATTGAAGAAACATTGTCTGCAAGTTGTATTGCATTGAAGTCTACAATCATCATCAGGTCCAAAATGATATTTAATACAGACATTGCCATATACTACTGGAAACGTTGCAGCATATGGTTTAGCATCAGCTATTTTATTCCATTCAAAAACTGTAACAAAGACTGTATCCCAACCTTTTCTTCTCACATTCTGAACATCTTGTGCATCTTTGATGATCATCTGACAGATGAAGAATGTTTTGTTTTTCAGCTAGAAATGGTGTAGCATGTAATAGAGCCATTTCAAGGAAACAGTATGAAGAAAGTAGCTTTGCCAATATTTAGCTCCACTGACTCTGAAATAAAAAAGATGTCACTTGTATCAGGCATTTAGATTAATATTACAGTACAGCAATAGAGCACTCCTGTTATCTTAATGCTTGTGGCTGCCAAGGACCAGAAACAGACTTAGCTTCCCTGACAGTATTTTTGAATGTATCCTTTTTTTTCTCCCACAAAAGGAAATGGTTGTACTTGGTAATAAGTTGCACAGAAAATGAAACTTGCCCTGAGAATGGCTTGGTCCATATTGACAGAGATAGTGCAGAGGGAGCAATGTATGTTTATTCACAAGGAACTTTGCAACATGTCCAATTTGCTGGATATTAATTCTTTGCATTAGTTATTCCCTGCATCCTCCGGTATGTGAGTACAAAGGCCCAAGTGGAGTCTGCATGCTGGACAAGCAGGTGTCAATATCTACATATTCTGAGATCTTACAGGAATGGCCAGAAAGGCTCTGAAGACACATTTGTTTCAAAATCAAAGTACATACTTTACTGTATCATTGCACTACTGTAGTTAGCTTGTGTGTCTATATGCTATATTTCAGCAGGAAGCCAGTTAACAAACTGTGCTTACAAATGACATCTTCAGTGAGTTGGAGTTTGGCTGGTGGAAGCTAAGCAAGTCATGGGCTCCAGATGAAGATATTCCTGCCCCCCGCTCTGGTCTGCACAGCAACTTAAGGCAACTTGAAACACTGTGGAGGGATGGGGGAGACGACAACCTCCTGGTGTTTTAAGCAGTGAATGTGTACATAACCAGCACCTCCAACCATAAAATAGGTGTAAATTCTACCACAGGCTTTAATTTACTATGACACAAACCACGTCCTATTTCAGCATGTACAGAATTTTCTTAATTCTGAAACAACAGCCTGGGCAATGCTCATCTTCTCTTTGGGGAACTGATCCTGTAAGGAATTTATAAGACACAGGTTGCAGTCATACATGCTCGAAAACTTACTTCAATGGGAAGTAAACAAGCACAGGATTGCACCACAGAGATTAAAAAAAAAAGTTTAGCACTCATATAGAATTTCTGGCATGTTCAAAGCACATACACCACCTCAGTCTTAATCATTACGACCCTGTGAAATATGTCAGATTGTTATTATCCCTCTATTGCAAAACGTGCTTGTGTCTAAAAGAGACTTGCCTGCAACCAATGGAAAGGGAAGTGGCACGTTTCCCTAGCACAGTCCTCTTTTATTGGCGTTTGGGCTGCAGACGTGGGGTTTGCCTGCAACTGTACTATTCCAGCATTGAGAAGTTTGCGGATCGTAACATGACGATATGTTTCCTGAGGAGAGAAACGTGTCCCCGCCGTGCCAAAAGGGAGTCGCTCTGTTTCTTTCCCCCTTTTCTCACCCTGAAATCCAATGAACGCACTACCGAGGGCCGGTCTCCCGAGGGCGGGACGTACCCATGTGACTGACCGACCAGGCGGGGAGGAACCGCCGCCCCCGACTAGCGGCGGCCTACCCGGGCCCAGCGGCGGCGGCGGCTCCGTTTCCGAGTCTGTCGCTGCCGGGCCCGGGCCGGCGAGGCCTCTGCTCCATGGGGAGGCCGGGCAGCCCCCCGCAGGCGGAGAGCCGCTGCCCGCTGTGGGCGCTGCCGGAGGAGCTGCTGCTGCTCATCTGCTCGTACCTGGACGCGCGGGCCTTGGGCCGCCTGGGCCAGACCTGCCGCCGCCTTTGCCGCTTCACCTGCCGGGATGCGCTGTGGAGGCGACTCGCCCGTTCCTGCCTCAACGCAGGCTTCAGCGCGCACGGCGCCGACCTGTAAGCGCCTGGGCTGGGGAAAAGCCGGCTGGGAAAACACGGGGCTTCGCGGCCTAGCTGGTTGCTAAGGGGCGCCCTTGTAACCAAGGCCACGCCCGCTCTGTCAGGGGAGGTGGGGGGTTCCTGAAGCGCCAGGGCCCGGCGGAGGAGGGAGGGAGGGAGGGAGGATGACCGCCGCGGATTCCCGCGGAGGAGTCCGGATGGCCTGGCGGAGGGGCGGAGATCTGGTTAGGGGCTCGTAATGGGCGCGAAGCAGCCTGGGATACAGAGTTAGTTCAGGGCCGAACTGTGCTTAGTTTTGTTGTCCCGGGACATACTGGCCTTAGGTACCTTATTAGACCCGGTATGTTGTGTCCTGGACCCATTGATCTGTGCCATCCAATGTTAGATCCCACAATCTTGCAAGGGACCCAGGCTTTTAGGACATCTATTACTGTGTCAGCGGATGCCTGTTTTCACTACAATTTAGCACTGGAGGCACGCTTTAGGCAACACTCAAAAAGATGTACACTCTACAATTGTATGATTATATATGCTTCCAGAATAAGTGGAGGGGGGGCTTCCTTCTTGCAGCCCCAACCCTTACACCTGGCAGTAACTCCCATTGACTTCAGACTCTCTTTGAACTCGGTTGCATTGTCTGTTGGGTTGTACAGCCCTGGTTCTGAAGAGAAGGCAACACTTTGAGACCCAGGGATGCCTAATAGCCCTTGGGTCTAGTTGCATTTCCATGTGACATCCCAAACTGCCTTGAGTCTCAGATAGGGCATTTCTTAATAATTTATAACCTGATACAGAAAATGGAAGAAAAGCGAGTTTACTTCTTTGTCAGCATGGACCTTTCAGTTTTAATATGCAGGAAATTTAAAGGTCGATTAAAGGTGTTGTGTATTCCTGTTGCCATGGTAGTAGTTGTGGGCCTGCTGTGATTACTCAGGATACTCTGTGCCCCTCAAGTGTAGCAAGGCTGGAATCACAGCTGAATTAGATTGGTTCTTTTCTGACCTATGCTTAATTACTGATTAGTATGATTAAGTTCTACTCAAACTCTACTTAAGGGATGGAGTTAATGCAAAATTACAATGTTAAAACAATGCACTTAATGTACATCAGCACAGAACTTACTGATTTGCTTTATCTTCCTTTACCCTGTCCTCCGGGTTTGCTTCTGAAGTGCACAAACTGGGAAATGTATAATGTTGCACTTTCATGCGCATGGATCATTGCATTTGTAATTGTGTGGGAAACAAACTGCCAATATCATCAACATGTGGTGAGGAAAATTTCACTACTTCCCTGCCTCCTTTGTTTTCTGAAGAAATGTGTGGCATAAATTGCCCCATGATGTAGCTGGATGCAACAGATGCAGCATAGCATCTAAATAGTTTACATTTCAGCTGGTAACTGTCCAGCTGAAATGTTCATCATGTAGATGCTATGCTATATATTTAATAAAACCCAGTTTACTAGTAGTGACAATTGAATCAATGGTATTTTGTGAAGGAGTATGGGGAGGAGCTATTAGCTCCATACATCTCTTATATGCAGACCCCTAGTTCAATCGCTGGCATCTCTAGCTACATCTGAAGTAGTAGGTTGGAGAGAGACTCCTTCTTGAGACATTGAAGAGCTGTTGACAGTCCATGTTGATCAGGCAACAGCTGGTCTGCATGTTCTGGTTTGAGGGTTTCATTCACCTTTGGCCAACTCTTTGGGGACTGATGCCAGTGGTGGATGTGACCTAAAGCGAGAATGGTCATCTCAGACTCCCACACATGCACACTCTCCCATGTGCTTGCACACACAGGACAAACACACAGCTTTGTATCCTGGTTAAAGGATTAGTGGTAACTGGTGAATGCTGGTGTTGACATATCCCTTAATAGTAGTTAAGCGGCGAGAAAGTTGTCTTTGATTTCTTAACCATATTAAAACTATATAAACTCTTTTGGTATTTAACAACTTATGTGGTATTTTATTTATTTATAATAAGTATTTCTGTACTGGTGTATCATAAAATATATCAAGGTGGTGTACACTATAAGACACAATTTAATATTCTCACTTAATATTAAAGATACAGATAATCATTCAGGTGACTTAGTAAAAAAAGAAATAAACAGCTGCAAGGCCTGTCAGTACAAGAGCCTTCAAGAGATGCTTGAAAGTGAGAATACTTGCCAAATCATTGCTGGAAGAATTTTCCACAGCATTGGACAGATGACACTAAATGCCCAATTCTAGTTGAGACCAATTGGGCCTCTGTTATATGGGGGACAATGAACACCATTCCTCCAGATCAACCTCAGCCTTCCAGATGTTTTTGGCCTGCAACTTTCATGATCCCTAGGTAGCAGGACCAATGGTCAGGAATGATGGGAATTGTAGTCTCAAAACACCTGGAGGGCTGAGGTTGAGGAAGCCTGCTCCAGATGATCTCACTTTTTCACCAGATGAACTCCTCTCTGGATGATTTTCATTAATTTGTTTTGGTGCTTTTCTTAGATAAATCTTGGATTTATTTTTAATAAATCCAATCTTTCATTTGAGTGTATCTTATAAGGTTCATAGGGGCAGAACCTGAAGTGTTTTAAATAATCTGATGCATTTGAATTAAAAACACCAAAATCTTCAGTTAATCATGAGCCAAGAACCATGAAATAATTATTAAAGTTGAAACAGATTCTACTGGGCCCGACTTAACATTAGTTGGATGGCCCTGAACAGTTTAAAGATAGCTTTAGAATTTAACGCTCTTTACAAAAAAATCCCCTATTATGCTAATCTGTTTAAAAATGTTCCTGAATGGAAAACCAAGGAGACACATCAAGACCTGGGGTTGTGGGAGGTAGTAAAGGAAATTCCCTTTGCACTAGTGTCTTGAGCGATAGTTACATTGAAATCGGCAGGGGTGAGGGCTGTAGGATTGTTGTATCTTTCAGCACCTGGGATCTGCTTGCTGTGCTATATTGTCCTTCCTTCTGAGGAAATGAATTTTTGTATTTTTTCATTAACTATAAGCTCTACATTGGATGCAGGAGGGGGTCAGGTATACAGCATAACAGGTGCAGTAGTTGGTAGGGCCTCTACTCTTATTTCTAAAGTGAAAGGCTGAACAATAATCTGAAATTTCAGTCAACTGAGGAAAGTGTACAAATGAAAGCATATATAAACCTCTCGAGGTAACTTTAAATGTTCACTAGCTTTTCTTAAAGGCTTTTTTTGATTGCATTTTCCTATTGTATAGTGGACTCTTAAAATACCTCAATAGCATTATGAGTGTGACTGTGTGAAGAGTGGTGGGAAAATGTTTAGAATTGGCCTCTTCCTGTATTTTGCTTCTTATCCCTGGGCATTATAAGGCTTCCTAGATTTGAGCACATTGTGTGATAGTAGTACTGGGGTTTTTTTTGCCTGTGGTCAGACAGTGAACTGGTTATGTGCTTCTTAGCTTGCAGTAGAAGACATGTACAGTAATACACTGTACAGCATACACTAGTCCTTGGACTTGGGTTTGATACTCCTGCCAGCGAACACTACCTATAACCACTTTCCTGCCACATAACAGATGCATATCATGCAGCAGATGGTGCTATGGGTGGGATAAGGTGGGACCACAGTTACGGTGAAGCAGACAGCAACTTTGAATTTCTCAGATCTTGTCTGTGGGTGCAAGGGGTTGGCAGTTGTGTGTTAATTTTAGGTAAAATTATGAAGGTTTATATTTGTCTTGTTTAAGGACTTCAGAAAGGAACAAGTTTTGAAAATAAGTTGTGGTAGTCAGAGTCACAGCTACAGGTTTCTGTTGGCAAATTTCAGGGTTTGTTTGTTTGTTTAAATATTGCTTTCAACATTAGTTTTGGACTTTTGAGCTAACACCTCTCCAAATCCGACCATATGGGATTATTTCCAGCTAATCTCTAATATTCTATGTTCTTGGATGAGGTTCTTGAGTATGTATTGGCACCTCAGCTCCAGGTGTTCTTGGATGAGGTGAATTATCTAGATCCATTTCAAACCAGCTTTAGGCTGCATTTGACAGGAAGTTGAGAGATGGCTGCTGTTCTAGATGGCTGCTATTCTAGATGGCTGCTACTGGGCCAACTTCTTTCCAGAGAAGATCCATGGGAGCCCCTTCGCTGCTGAATTTTAGCTGGCAGGCAATGTACATACTTATTCTGACATGTAAGCAATTACATATTTATTCAAATATACCTTTGGCCTCTATTATTATTTACTGGATTTCTTACCTGTTCTTCACCATAAAGTCACAGGGTGGGCAACAACAATATTAAAAGACAATATTAAAATCAGTTGAAACAATTTTGATTCAGAAGCATAAGGTGGGTCCTAATATGTGTGTATATATATCATGTGTCAAAAGTAATGGTAAAGAGTTGTGTTTTCAGTATACAGTGGTAACTTGGGTTACATACGCTTCAGGGTACAGACTCCGCTAACCCAGAAATAGTACCTCGGGTTAAGAACTTTGCTTCAGGGTGGGAACAGAAATCGTGCTCCGGCGGCACGGCAGCAGCAGGAGGCCCCATTAGCTAAAGCGGTGCTTCAGGTTAAGAACAGTTTCAGGTTAAGAACGGACCTCCGGAACGAATTAAGTACTTAACCCGAGGTACCACTGTAATGTAAGCACCTTCAGTTGGGCCCAGAAATGAACTAGCATCTGTAAGCTCACTAGTTTTGCCAGTGTAAATGTTGCAGTTTGCTCAACAGCCAGTTTTGTTTGTTGGTTTTACAGATGCTTTACCTATGTGTGCTAATGTTTTGTTATTTTATATTTTACTTGTTTTTTACTGTTCGCTAGCCACCTTGAGCCCTGTTTGTGGACTGACAGCATGCAAACAAACAAATAAGCAGTGTTCTGGTCTTGGAGGTTATCATCTCACTTAGCCCAAGGGTTTGATGGTGTTCTGGTCAGGTTTCTCTACTTTGACATTTTTTTGTCAGTTTTTAAAATGGAAATTACAGTTTGAGTATTACAT